ACCACGCTCGGTGCCAGTTCATCCCTCCGTAGTCAGCTGAGCTCCCGTCCGCTCGTGGAGTTATTCACACGAGCCCATCCCACCCTCCCAGGGTCCCCTCAGACCCTTGTGACTAGAGAGCCTGCCTCTGGGGTTCACCCTGACCTCGGGGGCAGCCCCGTGCGGCCCCAGTGGGCTGTCCTCCACAGGCTGTGAGTGTACGTCTCCCGTGGGCAGTGCAGGGTAGCATGAGTGAGGCCATTCCCCCAACCCCCTGGGGCAGGACTCCTCCGAGCGAGGTGCACGCGCGCCGACACTCACGCACAGGCACGCGCGCACACGCAGGCAAACGCACCATAGTTCAGTTGATAAATAACCCATCAGCTCTTTATTTATGTATTTTGGCTGCCCCGCGTGGCATGCTGGATCTTAGTTCCAGGACCCGGGATCCAGCCTGGGCCCCCTGCAGTGGAAGTGCGGAGTCTTAACCATTGGACCGCCAGGGAAGTCCCTAACCCATCGACTCCTGCCGCATCGTTCAGGAGGGAGGTGAAGTAGGAAGAAACCAGTCTCGTGTAAAGGTTGCAGCGACCAGGTGTTCAAAGCGCGTGTCACAGCTTCCTGTCGTGCTGGATACAGAGTCATGGGGCGTCCCGCCTTCCAGGAGCTCAGGCCACTTGCCTATTTCTCCGCCTTCTGCCGGGCACTGAACTCGGGACCCCCTGACACCCCAATAAAGCTGGACCCCCAGAGCCTGGAGGAGGTTTGGGCTCCGTGATGATAGTGATGGATCTACGTCTAGGTTATAGAATCTGAAGGTCTGAACACATAGTAGGGTGACCACAGGGCTCGAGGGGTCTGACTATCCCCTAAAGTGTCAGGATTTGAGGGCTCAGAACTGTGGCTGGGGGGTCCCTTTCAGGAGAAAATGTTTTTCTTAGGCATCTATGTTAGGTTCCGAGGGCTTTCGTAACCAAGTACCCCCAACTGGGGAGCTTAAACAACAGAAATGTATCCTCTTACCGTTCTGGAGGCCAGAAGTCTGAGATCAAGGTGTGGGCAGGGCTGGTTCCTCCTGGGGGGTCTGAAGGAGAACCTGTTCTAGCCTCTCTCCCAGCTTTGAGGCTCCTGGGACTTCCCTGGTGGCGCAGTGGTTGAGACTCTATGCTCCCAATGCAGGGGGCGCGGGCTTGAACCCTGGTCAGGGAACGACATCCCACATGCATGCCACAACTAACAGTTTGCATGCCACAACTAAGGAGCCCGCATGCTGCAACTAAGGAGCCCGCCTGCCGCAACTAAGACCCGGCGCAACCAAACAAACAAAAAACAAAACCAGGCATCCTAGTGAATTACAATAGCACAGTTTGCACTGGCAGAGCCCACGGTTATTGGTTATTCGTAGGGAATACAATTTGCACGATAACAGTGTTAGCACCAGGGATAGGAGAGGAATGAAACAGAAGTGGCTGGTGTGGCCCATGTACCTGGTGTGGCAGAGGAGCTGCCACGGGGGCTGCCTGATTACCAGGAGACTCGGGTGGGAGGGAGCCGCTGAAGTATCAGGGGCTGTCGTAGGGAGGGTGACCTTTGACCACAGAGAGGCTCTTCACCGACACAGAGTTCCCTGAGGGCCCACGTTGCTGTGGTTTAGTGTGTGGCCAGCATCACTGAAGCCCCCTTCTCCAGGGCCAGGGGCCTCTAGGAACCGATCACCCATGATGCTTCAGGATCTGACTTCCTCGGGGCCATGCTGTGGTCGCCTTTGCGGCTTCCGTAAGATATATTAAAATTTATATTTTAAGATAGTTCTGGTAGAAAACTTATTTTCCATGCTGCATGCATTATTTATATTTATTCATTATTATTATTATAGTCTTCCCTCCACCCCCCGATTTTAAGAGAAGTTCAAAAGGACCCCAGATATAATGAGCACTTTGTACTGTGCCAGGGGTGCCTGATGGTAGATGTTGGCCTCTGGGTCAACCAGATGGCTGCTCTCGCCCTGCTTCCTGGGCCTCTACTGGGGGGCCCCATTCTGCCTAACCTTCTTTTCCAGGGGGATGTCCTGCCCCTCACCTGGAGTTGTCCCTCCTCTTCTGGCCCAGGTGAACCTACCTTCAGTGGTGGAGTCCTAAAATCCTTGAAGGGACGGGGATTTGTCAAGCATGGTGGAGGAGACCAAGGATACCTCCCAAAGGTGTCCAAGCCAGAATCCCCTGGAACTTTATATGGCACAAGGGACCTTACAAATGTAATTAAGGTATGGACCCTAAAATAGGAAGATGATCCCAGATTAACCTGGTCCCTGCTCCATTCTAATCCCATGAACCCTCAAAAGCAGAGAACTTTGGCTGGAGCGGGAGAGATGTGACAGACGGGAAGGGGAAGAGATGCCGAGGGTGGGATCTAGGTGACACCTGCTCAGACCAGAGACAGGATCCTACCCTCCCCCCCACTGACCACCAGCGTAGAGGCGGGGACTTCAGCCCTACAACCACAAGCAACTAGATTCCGCTGTTAACCCAATGAGCTTGGAGACAGGCTCTTCCAGATCCACTCCCTTGGGAGCCCAGTGGGTAGACATCTCGATTTTGACCTTGTCAGACCTTGAGAGGAGACCCACAGGCGAGACTGCTCACCTCCAGGGCAGTGAGATCCTATGTTGGTGTGTGTTTGAGCTGCTCCGCGTGGGGTGATTTATTCCAGGTGCCATAAAAGTCAAGTGCGTTTGCAGCATCAACATTCTAATGAGTTCCAGGCTCTCTGAACTGGGGGCCGTGGCTGGAAGCACCTGGTCACGACCCCAGCCCCTCCATTCACCGCTCCAGAAACCATGTTAAAACACACGCTTCGGGGAGACTGGGCAAGAGGACAGGAGGCGTCAGCTGGCATTGCTGTGCCTCTACAGATAACATGCTTGGCAACGGGCCTTTCTTTCTGGACAAACACCCAGGGACAGGTCCATGCCCCCACTGTTCCCTGGGCTCCACCTGCTTCTAGGTCCTTCTTATTCTGTCACTGTGGCCACACCTGGGGCTCTTGCGGGAACCCCTTGAGGGTGGCAGCTATGGAGGACTTCCCTGATGCTCTGTTCTGGGCACACCTGGGCATGCCTGGCACACCTGGGTGCACCTGGCCAAGAGGGGCAGCTGATACCATGGTCTTGCCAGGGATGCTGGGAAGGCTTCCTGGCCTCGGTTTTCTCATCTGTAGGACGGAGGGTCACAAAGACCGGAAGGACCCTTCTAACCGAGCCTTGGATTGCATCAAAGAGGTCTGTATGCTGAACATCTCCAGGTGGCCTGAGTGGAGAGGGCAGCCTGCACCTTGAGGGTGACCCCCCAAGTCAGACCAGCTGGGTTCACTTCCTATGGCGATGGGGGGAGACCCAGAGTCCAGGTGTGGGGGTCACAGTTACAGAGGGTTGTGGAGTGTGGGATCGTGGGTCCTAGCAGGGACAGGAATCCTGGTGGGGCTGGGGTTGAGATCCTTGGTCCCGGGTGCTGGCGGGCGCTGATGGTGGTGGTGGGGGAGGAGGTCTCTGCTGGTGTGTGTATGAGGGGTGCTGTCCAGTAGGTGTCCGAATTGGGGGGATATGGATGTGGTCCAGGGTTCTGGTGGGTATTAAGGTCCCTGTAGGGTCTGGGGTTGCCAGGTTTAGGGTTTCTGTAAGGTTCTGGATAGGGGTCTGTGTGGGGTCTTACTGGGGGTCTGGGTTGGGGAAGTGTGGGGAGGGAGGGTCCTAGCTGTGATCTGGGCGGGGTCTGTGGTTCTAGCGGGGGTCAGGTGGAAGTCTGGGCGGGGGGTTCCACGCTCCAGGAGGGATCCACGTGGGAGTCCATGGTCCTGTCTGGGGGGCCTGGGGCTCTGTTGTGGAGGTGGGCAATAGCCTAGCAGGAGTCCGCGGTCTCAATGGAGGGTCTGAGGTCCAAGGGGGCTCTTGTGGTCCGAGGGCCGGATTGGAGGTCCCGGGCAGGAGTCCAAGGTCTGGGTTGGGTCCACATGTGGGTGGGGGTCCTGCAGCCAGGCAGGGGTCCTGGGGATCTGGGCGGGGTCTGTGGTCTGAGCGGGGGTCCGGGGTCAGGAGGGGTTCCAGGATCCAGGCAGGGAGGGGCCCCTGGTCCGGGCGGGGGTCCCTGGGGTCGGGGGGTTCCCTGGGGTCCTCGGTCTGGGCGGGGGTCCCTGGGGTCGGGGGGGTGGTCCCTGGTATCCTTGGTCTGGGTCTCTGGGGTCGGGCTGGGGTCCCTGGTATCCTTGGTCTGGGCGGGGGTCCCTGGGGTCGGGGGGGGTCCCTGGTATTCTTGGTCCGGGCGGGGGTCCCTGAGGTCCTCGGTCCGGGCGGGGGTCCCTGGGGTCGGAGGGGCGTCCCTGGGGTCCTTGGTCCGGACAGGGGTCCCTGGGGTCCTTGGTCCGGCTTGGGGTCCGGGGCCCCGGCGTCAGGCAGAGTCCCGGGGTCCGGGCGGAGGTCGTCAGCCGGGAGGGGTCCGCGGTGCGGGCGGGAGTGCCTGTTCCGGGCCGGGGTCGGGGGTCCGGGGTGCGGCGCCCCGGGTCAGGCGGCGTCCTGGGGTCCAGGCGGGGTCCGGGCGGGGTTCGGGGCGGGCGCGTGGGCGCGGGGGGCGGGCCGGCGCGGGCGCGTTTCCGCCGTCCGGCGGGGCTCTGAGTCCCGCGGGCGGCGCGGAAGCGGCGGCCGGGCAGCCATGTCGCTTTTGTCTGCGGCGCGGGCGGCCCTGCGAGTGTACGCGGTGGGCGCGGCGGTGGTCGTGGCGCAGCTGCTGCGCCGCCGCCTCCCGGGCTTCGCGGAACCAGGTTAGCGGTCGGCGGCGGGCGGGGGCGGAGGCGCCAGGGGCGGGCGGGGGGCTCGCGGCGGCGGCGGCGCCCGGCCGGGGTCGCGCCCCTCGCTCGGCCGGGACCCCCGGGGTGGGGGGCGAGCGGGGGAGGGGCGCGGCGGGGCCCCGCGTGCCCTTGACCCCGGCCGCCGGCCATGGCGCGCCGCGCCGGGCGCTCCCGGAAGCAGGGCCGGGCGGCCGCGGGGGGGAGGGAGGTGCGCCGTCCCCACGCGCCCCTACCCCGCTCCGCGCATCCCGGGCCGGGGTCGGCCCGGGGGTCCGCTCCCCCCGCGCACTGCGGGCCGGGGTCCCCGGGGTCCCGCGCGCCCCGCAGCCCCGCGGCCGGGGCGAAGGAGGGGGCGCTCGAGAGCCCGGCCGCGCGCAGGGTCAGGTAGGACGGGCCTCCCCGCGGTGGGTGGGGGACGCCGGGCGCGCTCGGGGGCGCGGCGAGGCCTGGAGGGAGGGGCTTCCGTTCTGGGGCACCTTGTTCCTCTGGCCCCCGCGAGCTCCGCGGCGTCTCCGGTCCCAAACTCTCCGGGGACCCGTTCGCGCTCTTCACGCACGTTGGGGACCTCCGGGGAGCGGGGGGTGGCGGCGATCCGTCTGGGGCTGTGTCTGGTCGCAGCGGCGTGCTCAGGACGTAAAACGGGGGAACCTGTAGGAATCTCTGTCTGCCCTAATTTGCAGGAGATCACACTCACCCTAGGCTACGCGAGCATACATGACATTGTATTTTTAGGTGACAGATGACTACTTTCTAAAACAAAGTATTCGGTGGGAAGAGTGGCGCTGTGTCACCTTGTGGCCGGTCTCTCTACTGTGTGGCCTAAGGGGATAGATGGAGTCTCAGTTTCACCCGTGTTTCCACCCTATTGACCTGGCACCCCCAGCAGCGTCTGGGCAACACCCCTGAGACGCGGGGGTGAAAAAAAAGGCAAAGAACATGTGACTTTGGTTGTGAAAATACTTGAGAATCGCTCCACTCCCCGACGGCAGGGGCGCTGCTGGGGCCACACTTTGCAAACCTGCAGCTCCGACCAGGAGTAGATAGTTTTATATGAGCTCCACCCTCCCAGGCCTCCATCAAAGGGAAATACATCTTCCAGGTTTATGTGAGGTGAGCATTTGGTTTTCTGATAAGCTGGACTTAGGTATTTTTTATGTAAAAAAAACCACATTGAGAGCAATCAGAAATGAACAGAGGGTAAGACCCCAGCTAGTACCTGGGGCTCGGGGGTGGGGTCCGCATAGTCACCTTTGAGATCAGGACTGGCTTGTACACAGTGAAGACGTATGGAAAGCTGTCCCAGGTTGCCCCAAATGGCCCCAGGTTGTGGAGCGCACCACTCCGAGCAGTTTTGCTCCCAGACGGGTCTGGCTGTCTCGCCTGGGAGCCCGTTTAGCCGCTCGCAGAAAAGACAAGTTGAGGATGGAATTTAGACTTGTCGGTGTTATCGCAGCAGCACCCCAAAATGCGTGCCTCGGAAACGTGTTGGAGATGCATCCAACCTGAGGGCTTGCCCTGTGGTTTCCACCTGTTGACTGATTGAGAAAAAAAATAAAGTTGTGGAAAGGCAAACCAGCCATGAGGCCATGTGTCCACTGAGGGCATCCTTATTCCGGCTTTTGCAGAGGGTTGTTTCATCCAAAGATGGACTTGCTGGGCTTGCTGTGTGCGAGCCACGTGGTCTGTGGGGTTAGAAATCATTTTAGGTCTGGGCGGAGGAGTGAACGAACATCCGTCCCATGTGCCAGGTGGTGGCCGGTGTCCCAAGTGGCACTGTTCCTCTGCTTTTGGACCCATTTTTTATTTGCCCCTAACTGGACTTCACCTTGGCGGGGGAGGAGACATTGAACTTTGCCCCGGTATGGAGCTACATAAACAGTAACCAGAGGCCCCGTTCACACGGAGAGTAGCTGGGCTTTGTTGTTCTTAAACATCAGATGTTTTCTTTTTAAAAAAAATATATAGTCTATATAAATAAAAATGTGCACAGTATAAAATAGTTGATACGGAAATATTCTCTTATTTATATATTCTAAACGGATAACGACAAAGCCCAGCGGTGATTATTGAAGTGCGTTTGGTGTTGTGAAAGTTCTTTGCTAACCCACCGTGAGCGGTCAGGTCATGCCTCAGATTTACAAGTACCTTGGTTACGAGTTTGCTAATATTTGCATGTCAGATCTTCAGTATCTAGAGAATCTGTCTATAGATCGTCTCAGCGCTTTGATGAGTTGCTTGTGCACACTGCACGTATTTCATGCAGTTACATAACTTTTACTGGGACTCCTTAGATAAAAGGGAGCTGTCTCACATTTATGGCTGTCGCTTTGCAGTTGTGGGTGGTCCTGCACATTTTATCCGGTGGGGGACAGGCGTGTGGTGTGAGTTCACCTGGATTCTATGAAAAGGTGAAGGAAGATGCTGAAAAGGTAACCCACCCCTGAATGTAACCTTAAAATGCGCTCTCTGTAAACAAGATCATTACAGACTCATGATCGTTGCAGGTTGTGCCTTGATAGAGACGCGTGTAAGCAAATGAAAACTTCCTGTAACAGACCCTGATTTCCAGATTCTCTATGGCGATTGTCTGTTACAAATTAAATGTCTCTGATGCATCAGTTTTGAAAGGGAGAGAAAGTCATCCAGATGTGTTTTGCAGGGACGTTCTGATACCACACAGACATTTCCCTTAAGAATTCTGTTGGAAATAGGAGGTAGGTCTGGAAATGGACTTCTGCTGATGGGCTGACACCCCCAAAAGATGTCAGCTGGCCCACTTATGAAGCTATTTTAGGGTGGATCCTGGTGTTCAAACGGCAGGGTTTTTAGAAACCGATAAAGAGAACGTTATTTCTCGTTGGTGTTGTGTACCTATGAACGGTTGGGGGTTGTGGATCCAGGGAGGTGAAACCACAGTTTTCATGATCTTAGGAGTTTTTGACTCTTAAAAAAAAATAAGTACTCCCCCCGCCCCGCCCAAGAGCTTTTTTAAAAATAAATTTCTAAATTTTTACTTTTCGGCTGTCCCACGCAGCATGTGGGATCCTAGTTTCCTGACCAGGGATCGAACCCGTGCCCCCTGCCTTGGAAGCGTGGAGTCTTAACCACTGGACCTCCAGGGAAGCCCCAAAGAGCTTTTGTTTGTGTGGCTTTGACTTATCCATGTGGATCCTATTCACTTACATGTTAATTAAATTTAAATTTATTTGAAATGAAAAAAAAGGTGAACAGAAATTTACAACATATATTTCAAGTAACATAACAAGTCACTTACATGTTATTCCCAGTAACTTTTTTCCCAGTGAAAAATAACTATAATCTCCAACACAAACAAACAAAAATCAGGGAGAGTGGACCTGTTTCTGGTTCTTGCCAGTTTCCTGAAGTACCGACTGGGAAGAATGCAGCTGGTTCTCCACTTGGTGGCTTCATCCTGTGTCTTGTGACATGTCCCTTGTGTTGGTGAAGCCAATTGGGAAGATCTGGCTGGTGTCTGTGATGTGAGAAAAGGCAGGACCTTGCCACGTCCCTGGCAGTGTCTTGGTGATGGTCCCCCCCAGAGATGCTCAGGCCGCCCTGTAAGAAGGACCCTGTGGAGAGGGTGCTTTGACAAAACCTTGATTCCTGACTCTGACGGGAGATGTAGACCTTGCCCTCCAGACAGTGGAGGGTGGCTTTGTGCAGCCGCCTTCAGCGTATGTGCTCAGAACCCTCCTACCGTGTGTCACCTCCTTGGAGGTTCTGACATCATTGGCCCGAAGGAGGTGATGCCGCAGGGGGAGGCCCTACAGGCGGTGCCCCCTTAGGTTGTCACTGTGTCAGGGATGCTTCCTGCTTTGTGGGCAGAAGTTTGCGCCAGGATGGCGCTGGACTCCTTCAGCCAGATCACAGCAGTAATTCATCGTCATCATCCAGGTGTAGTCGGATCTGAGAAAACTGAATTGCGTGGTCCGCGCGGGATGGGGCAGCTCATATTCCAGAGCCCAGGTGTCGTGCCCGCTGTGCAGTTCCCGTCGCTTTTGGGGACCACCTTTCCCACGCTCAGGTGCCCCATCCTGGCTTGGCTGTAGGATGTGCGGTTTGGGGGTTTCCTCTTTGTGAAAGTCCTGCCTGTATCGGATCCCCTCCCTCTGTCCTGGAGACTTTGGGCCTCACCTCTGAGCAGTACATCCTTCTGCCCCATCCCTGGCTACCGACGTGCCCCTTAAATCAGCCCCCCCAAGTGTGACCTCTCCCTGAAAGCCTCCGGTGGGCCCTTTTGACCGCAGGGCGCCCAGCACCAGGGGTGATGTTACCACTCATAGCTTTTATAGTTTTGTTCTCATCAGCAGAGCGTGCAGGGGCGGCTGTAACAAAGTACTTAAAATCATGGAAGTTCATCCTGTCTCTTTCTGGAGACCAGAAACCCGACGTCGAGGTGTCCCAGGGCTGCGCTTCCTACAGAGGCTCCAGGGGAGGGTCCTTCCTGCCTCTTCCAGCTCCTGGGGGCTCCAGGCGTCCCTGGCTTCTGGCCGCGTCCCTCCCGTCTCTGCCTCTGTCTTCCCGGGGCTTCTCCTCTGTGTCTGTGTCTCCCCCTCTCCTGTGTCTTGTAAGGACCCTGTCATTGGATGTAGGGCCACCCTCATCCAGGAGGACCTCATCTCAGACCCTCCCCTTCATCACCTCTGCAAAGACCCTGTTTCCACATAAGGTCCCATCCTCAGGTTTTGGGGGGACGTGAATTTGGGGAGTGGGGCCGCTATTCAAACCACTGTCGTTGTTACTGGGTTTTGGCTTTGAACATACGCCCCACACTCAGAAAACGCCTGGTTGGTGCACTTTGTGATTTAACCCCCTGAGTGCTGTACCGGGGGTTGAAAGCTTGCAGACTTAACCCATTTCAGGGGGAAGTCTGTTCGATGGACATCATTTGAGGAAATCAAATAAGTAATAAAACTAACATTCATGCTCTCAAAGCGTATCTTTTTCTCTCTGTGTCTAGGCATATGTATGTATATTTGTTTATGATTATTAAAAGTTTCTCTCTTTTTTTTAAATTCATGCTCATGCCTAATTCGAAATTTTCTGCTATTTCTTTTTTTTCTGTTTTTTTGAAGATGTTAGGGGTAGGAGTTTTATTAATTAATTAATTTATTTTTTCTGTGTTGGGTCTTCGTTTCTGTGCGAGGGCTTTCTCTAGTTGCGGCGAGCGGGGGCCCCTCTTCATCGCAGTGCGCAGGCCTCTCACTATCGTGGCCTCTCTTGTGGCGGAGCACAGGCTCTAGACGCGCAGGCTCAGTAGTTGTGGCTCACGGGCCTAGTTGCTCCGCGGCATGTGGGATCTTCCCAGACCAGGGCTCGAACCCGTGTCCCCTGCATCGGCAGGCAGATTCTCAACCACTGTGCCACCGGGGAAGCCCAAAAGTTTCTCTTTTATTGAAGCATACTTGATTTACAATATTGTGTTAGCTTCAGGTGTACAGTACAGTGATTCAATTATACATATATATTCAGATTCTTTTCCATTATAGGTCATTACAAGCTATTGAATGTAGTTCCCTGTGCTATACAGTAGGACCTTGTTGTTTATCTATTTTATATATAGTAGTGTGTATCTGTTCATCCCAAACTCCTAATTTATCCCTCCCCACCTTTCCACTTTGGTGACCACTAGTTCGTTTTCTACGTCTGTGAGTAACAGCCAGCTTTTAAGAAAACTCAGCTGCCCTTTTGGGTGTCCTGGCCCTGATTGGCAGCTCTGGGAAGCCGAATGTGTCCCACTGACAGCCGGGCAGTGCTGCACCACAGCTCGTAGGTGTCTCTGTGCCCAGGTGTGAGTGCCCACAGTGGGCATTTTGAGAAGTTCCAGGGATTGAGAAATCCATTATCGCCCCAATCTGGTTCCTGATGCCAGATGCACCTAGGAGAAAAATAGAGGGACGTCCCTGGTGGTCCAGTGGGTTAGACTCCGCGCTCCCAATGCCGGGGGCCCGGGTTCGATCCCTGGTCGGGGAACTAGATCCCGCATGCCTCAACTAAGACCTGACGCAGCCAAGATAGATAGATAGATAGATAGATTAAAAAACAAAACAAAACAGCTGGAGCATGTGCAGTACAGAAAGTAATATTTTTAACTTTCTTTAATTGATATAAGTTAATGTACAATATTATATAAGTTTCAGGTGTACAGCATAGTGACTCACAGTTTTTAAAGGTTATACTCCCTTTATAGTCATTATAAAATATTGGCTGTATTTCCTGTGTTGTACTATATATTCTTGTATCTTATTTATTTTATACCGAGTATTATAGTTCGTTCTTCTCAATCCCCTTCCCCTATATTGCCCCTCTCCCTTCCTTCTCCCCACTGGTAACCAGTAATTTGTTCTGTATATCTGTGAGTTTGCTTCTTTTCTGTTATATTCACTAGTTTAAAAAAAAATTTTTTTTTAGGATTCCACAGATAACTGATACCATACAGTATTTGTCTTTCTCTGTCTGACTTATTTCATTAAACATAATAATCTCCAAGCCCATCCATGTGGCTGCAAATGGCATGACTTCATCCTTTTTTATGGCTGAGTCGTATTCCACTGTATATATGCACCGCATCTTCTTTATCCATCCCTCTGTCCATGGGCGATGGCCGTTTAGGTTGCTCCCATGTCTTGGCTGTTGTGAATAGTGGTGCTGTGAACATGGGGGTGCATGGATCTTTTTTCTAATGAGTGGTTTTGTTTCTTTCAGATAAATATCCAGGAGTGGGATTGCTGAATCATACAGCATCTCTATTTTTAGTTTTTTAAGGAACCTCCATCCTGTTCTCCATAGTGGCTGCAGCAGTTCACATCCCCACCAATGGTGTAGGAGGGTTCCCTTTTCTCCACACCCTCACCAGCATTTGTTATTTGTGTTCTTTTTGATGAAACCCATTCTGCTGGGGGGTGTGTGTGTGAGGTGAGATCTCATTGTGGTCAAAAAGGCATCATTTCAAAACAAAATTAGAAAAAGCTCGTATTTAATGCCACTCTGACAACTTGATATCCACTTGAGACCCTCTGTTTTCGTCTTCTTTCATCTGATGGTGGCGTGTGGCACGCGTGCTTGCCGACCAGGTTTTCGGTTGGGGAGGTGGGTCGTCTTGGGCTGGCGGGGCGCTTGGGAACGTGGCCTCCGTCTGGAGAACAAGCCCCCCTGCTTGGCGTCGGGGCTCCTGGATTTCCTAGAACAGGACAGAGTAAAGCAGCTCAGGTGAGGAAAGAGCTGTCATCAGGAGTCCAAAGACGATCCCCAAACTAACAATAAAAAAACGCGTGTCTTCGGACGCACCTGGATGGAAGAGTTGCTGGCTTGTCAGACTGGCCCCTCTGCTGTGCCAAAGCCAGGAGCCGGAGCGGCAGCCCCCGGGGACCCTCTGCGTGCGCCCTTGGTTCCGGAGCAGCCCCGCTCCCCGCCGGCCGGAGCCGGGTCTCTTCTCACGCTGTGTTTGTCTCGCTGCTTCTCGGCAGGTCGTCCCGAATGAGCGAGGCCCGGCCCGGGTGGCGCAATGGAGGGCAAGAGCCTGGAGGGCGCGCAGACCGACCTCAAGCTGGTGGCGCATCCGCGCGCCAAGAGCAAAGTGTGGCGCTACTTCGGCTTCGACACGAACGCCGAGGGCTGCATCCTGCAGTGGAAGAAGATCTACTGCCGCATCTGCATGGCCCAGATCGCCTACTCGGGCAACACCTCCAATCTGTCCTACCACCTGGAGAAGAACCACCCCGATGAGTTCTGCGAGTTTGTCAAGAGCAACACGGAGCAGATGCGCGAGGCCTTCGCCAGCGCCTTCTCCAAGCTCAAGCCCGAGGCCGCGCAGCAGAGCGCGCAGGAGCCGCCGGCCGCCAAGGCGGCGGCGGCGGCGGCGGCGGCGGCGGTGCACGGCCACGAGGGTCGCAGGCAGCAGGAACTGACGGCCGCCGTCATGGGCCTCATCTGCGAGGGGCTCTATCCCGCGTCCATCGTGGACGAGCCCACGTTCAAGGTGCTGCTGAAGACGGCTGAGCCGCGCTACGAGCTGCCCAGCCGCAAGTTCTTCTGCGGCAAGGCCATCCCCGAGCGCTACGGCGCCGTGCGCGACGCGGTCCTCAAGGAGCTGGCGGAGGCCGCGTGGTGCGGCATCTCCACCGACCTGTGGCGCAGCGAGAGCCAGAATCGGACCTACGTGACGCTGGCCGCGCACTTCCTGGGCCGCGCCGCCCCCCACGGCCTCTTCCTGGGCTCCCGCTGCCTCAAGACCTTCGAGGTGCCGGAGGACAACGCGGCCGAGACCATCACGCGCGTCCTGTACGAAGCCTTCATCGAGTGGGGCGTCAGCTCCAAGGTCTTCAGCGCCACCACGGACCGTGGCAAGGACATCGCCAAGGCCTGCTCGCTGCTGGACATCGCGGTGCAGATGCCCTGCCTGGGCCACACGTTCGACGCGGGTATCCAGCAGGCCTTCCGGCTGCCCAAGCTGGGGGCGCTGCTCGGCCGCTGCCGCAGGCTGGTGGAGTACTTCCAGCAGTCCACCGTGGCCATGTACATGCTGTACGAGAAGCAGAAGCAGCAGAACGCCGCCCACTGCATGCTGGTCAGCAACCGCGTGTCCTGGTGGGGCAGCACGCTGGCCATGCTGCAGCGCCTCAAGGAGCAGCAGTTTGCCATCGCCGGGGTCCTCCTGGAGGACAGCAACAACCACCACCTCCTGCTGGAGGCCGCCGAGTGGGCCACCATTGAGGGCCTGGTGGACCTGCTGCAGCCCTTCAAGCAGGTGGCCGACATGCTGTCCGGGTCCAAGTACCCCACCATCAGCATGGTGAAGCCCCTGCTGCACATGCTTCTCAACAGCACGCTCAACAGCAAGGAGACGGACTCCAAGGAGATCAGCATGGCCAAGGAGGTGATCGCCAAGGAGCTCGCCAAGACCTACCAGGAGACGCCCGAGATCGACATGTTCCTCAACGTGGCCACCTTCCTGGACCCGCGCTACAAGAGGCTGCCCTTCCTGTCCACTTTCGAGAGGCAGCAGGTGGAGAACAGGGTGGTGGAGGAGGCCAAGGGGCTCCTGGACAAGGCCAAGGACGGCGCCTACCGCGCGCCCGGGGACCAGCTGTACGCCCCGCCCGAGGAGCCCCCCGTGAAGAAGCCGGCGCCCTCGGCCACGCCGCCGCCCGCCAGCGTCATCCACGACATGCTGGCCGAGATCTTCTGCCCCGCGGCGGGCGTCGAGGACCAGGACGGCTGGCGCGCGCAGGTGGTGGAGGAGCTCAGCAACTTCAAGTCGCAGAAGGTGCTGGGGCTCAACGAGGACCCCCTCAGGTGGTGGTCCGACCGCTTGGCGCTCTTCCCGCTGCTGCCCAGGGTGCTGCAGAAGTACTGGTCCGTGGCGGCCACGCGCGTCTGCCCCGAGCGCCTCTTCGGCTCCTCGGCCAACGTCGTCAGCGCCAAGCGGAACCGCCTGGCCCCCGCGCACGTGCACGAGCAGATCTTCCTGTACGAGAATGCGCGCGGCGCCGCGGCCGAGCTGGAGGATGAGGACGAGGGCGAGTGGGGCCTGGGCCACGAGCAGGCGTTCCCGCTGGGCGACGCCGGCCATGCCGGCTACTTCGGCCTCAGGGACGGCAGCTTCGTGTAGCGCGGCGGGGGAGAGTGGGGGGAGGGGACCGCGCGTGGGCGCCTCTCGTCGGGTGCTTGGCTGTCAGTACTGACCCCGCCGGTGGGCGCGCTGTCCGGGACAGAGGAAATGCACAAAACAGAGAGATGGACCTTTGGTGGGGCTTCGGGCGGCCCAGAGGACAGAGACGGGCTTTGGTTGCCCCAAAGGAGAGAGGTGGGCTTTGGGTGGCCCAGAGCTGGTGAAAATGAGCGTTTTCTCTGGAGGGGCCCCTTGCGTTGCAACGCAAGGGAAAGAAATGACTTATCAAAGCCCTAGATGTCCGCTGATAGGGTTGCAAATGCTGAACTCCGTGACAGAAGCACGGCCGGCAGGGATGTCTTGCCTCCTAGGTAATTCCATACCTGCAGCATTCATGTTCTCTGCGAGGGACGGTTTGGGGTAAATCGGAGAAAGATTGAAACCGACGGGCAGCTGAGGATGAAACCCCTGTGTGTCCTCCACCGACACCATCCGTGGATGTTAGCCGTGGGTTGGTGAAGGAACCTATTTACACTGTCATTTACGTGGGAACCTTGCCTCTGGGTAGCCGGGGAGAGACACTCTCGCCAGACGCCCTGTTTTCAAGAGACACCAGTTTTATGTTCGGTGGAAAATGTTAACAGTGAGCCCGCAGTGCAACCGCTTATAAAAAAAAAAAAAAGCAGAAAAGAGGTGTTGGTTGTGGTGTGTTTTCTGCCGTGAATCAGTCTCTTTTCTCCCCTTGCCTGAATTCACAGTCCTTGTGAGCCCTGTAGCTCGTGGGTCTTGAGGTGGGTTTTCTGTGAGTCTGATGCTTCAGAGGTCCGGTTTCCCCAGAATCACTTTTCTTGGGATGAACCTAGGGAAGGCGGTCCCCACTCCTTGGAAACCCTGCTTTTGAATACGGAGGACCCTCTCGTGCCCACGGCCGGCTCTAGAGGGCTGATTTAGGTTTGATTCCTGGAAAGGGCTCTTGCATTCTCTTTTAAACACCAATGGGGGGCGGGGGGCGTTGAGTTAAAAATAGTACCAGGGATCCTTTTATCTTTGGGGGTCCTTGTGGGTTGCTTATGCCCCTGGGGAAACGGGAAGGCCGTTTCTAACACTTAGAACTACTTTTATTTATTTACTTATTTTAAACGAATTGCTTTTCTTTAAGAGGCAAAGCCCCTGGACTTCCCTGGCTGGTCCAGCGGTTAAGACTCCGTGCTCTCAGTGTAGGCGGCATGGGTTCGATCCCTGGTCGGAGCCCTAAGATGCCACCTGCTGCGCGATGTGGCCCAAAAAAGAAAACGACACCAGTCTTATCTCTGATTCCCACCTGAAAACAACCCAAGTCCGGGTGGAGGTTTTGTCGGGAGGTACGCGATTTACAAATGCCCCATCTCAGCCCTCGGCAATCTTTTCCCGGGACCCCAACATCGAGCCGCATCCCGGGGGCTTAAGGAGGGCATTTCTCCAGGTTCGTGGCTGGGGACTTCCTGTGGCTCCGGCCAAGGCAGTCTTTTATCTTGATGTCACCAGCCGTGAACGTGTTTAGGAAATCAGGCGTCAGAAAGCAGTGTCCCCTACGCCGTCTCCTTGAAGGAAAGCGATAGCGTCGCTGTCTGCAGACCCTCTGCTCTGCTCTCCGGCTGGGAAAAGAGCCGCAGAGACGCACATCCCACCTCCCGGGCTGTAGTTGGCTGCTTTGCATCTGACCCCCCACACACACATTTCTTAAAATCCTGGCTTTCTGTCACTCGTGAAAACTTGTGTCCCTCCAGCTAGCTGCCTCTCTGCATTTCTCACGTTTCTTCCTAAGCCCTGGGGTTGCCGGCCCTCTTCCTGGCTTGTACTTTTCCTTATTTAACGCTGTCGAATCGGACGCTTGTTCAAGAAACCCCAGCGATAAACGGACTCCTAATTGATCGGTCTGACGTGCGTGAGTCACGCTTCACACTTGCAGGAAAGCCTCTGACCTCGAGGGAGGGCTTTATTTCTGTTTGTTGAAAGAGACTTTTCCAAGCCACGCGGAAGAAGGAAGGCCCCTGTGCTTTGTTCTGGGGTCTCTGGGAATCACATCAAGGGTGTGATGCGTTTCTGGATCTTTTGGTATCACAGTGTGTTTATGTGAATGAAGCTGCCAGCCGGGGAAGCCTGCTACGGGAGTGGGGATTCTGCACGTTCGTTCCCTGGGCTGTCTTTGCACTGGGTGTGGGGAGGATGATTTTAAAAAGCCGAGCCTTTTGGGGTGCTGACCTCGGGCCATGTGTATCGCTAGGGCATCTGGGTTCTCTCCCATCGACTCCTTTCTCTCCCCGTTCCCTTCCTTTCTCTCCTTCCTTTTAAGAAAACGAGGTACCCCAGAAACAGACTGGGAGGTCGGCGTCCGTCGTTATTTTTCTCCTTCTGCACGTTATGGGTTGCCTCTGTTCCTGGGGGCATGGGGAGGGGGATTCAAACGTAGAATTTTTCTGCACAAACATTTTGAGTTTCAACAGGCCAGTTTTCAGTCATGATAACCTGACACTTGCAGAGCGTTCTCCGTCGAACATTAAGTGGAACGTGGCCTTCAGTGTCTTAGATAAAGTATCGTTGCTGGCATCTAGAATGTCTCGTAAAAACACAGCTCCTAACCGTTAAGGATGTGTCTTATCTGGGTCGGCCCAGGACTCTGCTTCCTCAAGATGGTGTGTGTTTCACTCTCAGGTCTTGCTCTAAAGTCAGTTTCCTTTCAGGGTCCCGCTCTCATCCCGGCTCAGGGAGGCGGGCCCCTCAGTGTGTGTTTGGAGTGACCCCGGGGTCTCGGCCGCCCTCTGAGCGAAGGCCTGGGGCCCCTCACAGGCTTCTGAAAGCACCGCGGCCCTCAGACATTCGTCTTTCTGGTTTCCGGGTGCAGTCTGGACCAATCCCGGACACATAGCTAGAGTTCTTCTCCTTGGGAACCTGCAGCCCCGTGTGTCCCCGTCCTATAAATTGTACTGCATTAAGACCCAGCGTGGGATGTTTTGCAGCTGTTCTGGCCACCGGGGGGCTGGGTTTGCAGCTCTGCCTGGAAACACAAGCCCTTCTGTGCCTCTCGCGGCTAGCAGGCCCAGGGCTAGGCCTTCGGGGTCCTCCTCCTACGTGCTGGGGGCCCTTGGCCACTCTCTGAACTTCGCTGGCTTCGTCCCCTGCAGCCCCGCGCGGGTGGGATACAGCGGCTGCTTGCCTTGGGTGGCTTCAGCCTCCAGCCCCACCGGCCTCTGCTCCGGCCCTGCAGTGCACACAGCCAGCCCCATATCCTGTCGTGCTCAAGGCAAGATCCCGACCGTTCAGGCTCCCCCTTCCTCTCTGCAGATCCGGGTTCCTGGCCTGCAGACGCAGGGCCCTCCCGGAACCTGCGTGGTCTCTGGGTCCCCCCGGCTGCCTGGGCCCATCCCGGCTTCCCAGGCTGTGACTCCGAGGCTGGGGGCTCCGTGTGGCCTCTTTGCTGGGATTGTTTGTGCTGGTTTTCTGGGAGCACCCTTAGAATATCTGCTCAGTGGTTTGACCTTTGGCCCGAAGCAAGGTTGGGATGCTTTGCCCACCTCTTGTTTTCAGCCCAATTTGTTCACCTTCTCGACTGACCCAAACTCCCTCAATTTTTTGGGTGATGAGAGACCAGATGGGATAGGCTTTTAGCAGACGGCAGATGGCACAAGGCAGGGGCGGATTCCTCAGGAAGTGTTTCCTTAGGGAGACGAGCATCGCTTCCTCTGTTAGAAGGATGGAGCCCGGTGGTCTCCGCAGCTGTCCTTGAAAGAGGACTTTTCCTGAGAGATTTAGTCACGTGGGGTCCACAGCAAAGGCATTTCCCCTCGACGGCGGGTGTCCTGGGAGATGACACTTGATGAGTCCTCTCGGGGCTTTTGCTTCCAGGAGGATCCTGGCTGGGTCTTCGTGGAAATGAGGCAGTGATTGGAGAGTAGGTGACATTGGGAAGATCACGTCTCGTGCACAGCACCGGGGACGCCAGCATTGGGGTTTATGGTGCAGCGTAGGAGCTGATAATTGTGTCGATGGCCAGTTTGTTACATACATACTAACCTTTGTGATTCCATGCCTGGATGGAGTTGATTCTATTTCTATATATATATATATATATATATATATATATATATATATATATATATATATATATTTAATAATGTAAATATGTGTGTAAACCTAAATATATATATTTACATATATCAATATATATACTTTTATATCCTATCTATGTATATTCTCTTTTTTATATTCTGTTATCTGTCATCTGTTATCATTCATCTGTGTATTTATTGCATATCTATCACCTGTCTACATCTTTATCATCTCTATGTATTATTTATTATCTCTGCATCTATAATCTATCATCTGTGCCCTTGTCCATTTTCCGTCTATCATCTATCGACCTGTTATCTGTATCTGTTGTCTGTATCGTCTGTGTGTTTATCTATGTATCTATGATCAGTTTATCATACATCTCTGTATCTATCGTCTGCCTGTGTATCTTATTTATCATCTATACACTTATTCTTTATTTATCATCTACGTATCTGTGTATTTTCTATTACCTGTCAGTTTGTCATATCTATCTATCTGTCTCTGTTTATCCATCCATCCATCCATCCTGTACTTTTATGGGTGAACGTCTGTCTCTGTTTATCCATCCGTCCGTCCTGTACTTTTATGGGTAAACTGAAGGTGCGTTGAGCAGCTTGCATTCTCCCTGCAGGAAATGTAATGAGTTGACGCACTTCTCCTTAAAGGACAGCTGTCGTTGGCCAGCCTGTCATGGCTTAACACGTTTCCCGGCTCCGTAAGACACTCTGGCAGGAACCATGGGATTCCTGCAGTCCACTCTCCTCCCGGAACCTCTGAGGACTCAGCATGTCCAGCTCCTCACCCAGGAGAGCTGGGGGAGCATCACCCTGCCCTCAGTGCGTGGTGCCCTGGCTCCGCGGCTGGTGTGGCCCTCCCCCCGTCACACGCACTTGGCCGGAGAGCTACACCATGCCTCTCGGGCCCGGGCAGCTGGCCCCGTGGCTGCAGGCCTGCCTGGGGTGGGGGGGTCTCCCCAAGGAGGAGCCCGTTCCTGGGCTGTGGGCGGTGAAGCCCACGTGGCGGGTCTCCAGGTGGCAGAAGGACACGGGGGAGGTGCAGCCGCTGGGATGCAGTGACCGGCTCACCTCCTTTCCCGCTGGCATCCGGGGTCTCGCGCGCCAGGCCACGGGGGCCAGTCCTGCGTCTGTGGTCAGCTTGGTTCAGGGCTGTCCCGCCGTGTATGGCCTCGCGAAGGAGCGCGGCCCGGGACAGCGGAGGTGGCGCACGCGCAGTGCCCGAGCCCGCGGTGAGCCTGCCTTGGGGGGTGTCTGGCGGCAGCAGGGACACCCCCTGGGAGGGGCTGGCAGTGGCCTTCCCAGGTCTTGTCCTGACCCCCCCGGCGAGGCGTTGGGATGGGTTGGGAACGGGGAGGTGGATGAAGGGAAGAGCAGATGCACAGTCGGGGGGGGGGATGGTGGGTGCAGGATGCACGTGCAGGAAGGCAGGTCCGTACTGCTGGCAGCGCAGGGGGAGACCACGCAGGGAGCCCCCGGCCCTGCCTTTCCTCCTCTGCCTCTGCCCCTCTCGTGTGGACACCTCTGGGCGAGGTGGCGGGAGCATGTTGCAGACCGAGTCTTTGTGTCCCCCCGGAATTCGTATGTGG